AAGAAGAAGAAGAAGAAGAAGAAGAAGAAGAAGAAGAAGAAGAAGAAGAAGAAAAAGAAGAAGAAGAAGAAGAAGAAGAAGAAGAAGAATATTACAGTCTAATACACAAATAGAAATTGACATGTACATGAATTCGTTATGTACAAGTTTTGCTATGTGCTTTTTTAAATACAAAGAATATACATTTGCCTTTTCCAAGGACACTCAAGATTAGGAAGTCATCAAACTCGACTTTTAATCAAGATAGATGGGTATTTTTTTTTCAACAAAGGCAAGGCAAATAAACACTCTTTAAGATGATACCAATACCTCCACACGCCCAATCATTGACAAGCGCCCCATTGTCGCGTGTCGTGACACATTATTTTTGCATTACTCCCAAACAAACCACTCACTTGGGACTTGACTTGGACGGTCCAGCCGTGGGCGAGTCCTGCTCGTTCCACGAGGGGTGAAGGTCAGAGAGGTCAAAGTCCACCGATTTCTTCTTGGCAAAGCCCAGCCGGCAGTACATGGAGACAGCGTTCTGTGACAACACACACATTCTCATTCTCAACATAATCTTTATGTGGGTAACAGCTAAAAAAAAAAATTTTTTTAAAGACAATTTACATCACCTAGCTAAACAAACAATTTTTTTCCAGAACATATACTTTGCAGGGTTACTTATTTGTTTGTTTGTGTGAGTAAAAAAGAAGAATAATAACGGTCATTAAGCGCACAACAAAAGTGGGACAGACAAATTGAAAAATACAAATACACAACAACAAAAAAGTAGGACCTACTAGTGGTGTCTAAAAATCACAATTCACATCACCGATCTAAACACCAGGAAACTTTTTTCAGGATATAATCTTCAATGGATAATATCTATGACAACTTTTGAAAAATTAATGTGATTATCTTTTTATTATTTTTTTTACATTATTATTATCATTATTTTTATTATTTAAAAATTTTAAATCTAATCACTGACGAAAAAATCCAATTCTTTTTTAAGATATGATTTTTGAACGATTACGATTAACAACTATTTATTTCACAAATCAAAACACCAGATATCTTCTCACAAGATTTCCACTACAGGAATACATTTTAAAATGACAATTTACCCTATCAGTCGACTGAGAAGACATTCAGTAACAGTCAAAGTCACAAAACACTAGAAGGTGACCTTTAAAAAATTGTTACTGAAATTCGGAATAATAATTCTTGCTTTCAAAATTTATAGCATTCTCTCAGGATGCGACAGAATCTTTTGAAGAGGACGGAATCTTTTCACAAGCATCTACAACAAGTATCTCACCTTTACAAGTGACAGATCAATCTGCAAGACATTGGCAAGCTGAGGACAAAAGAATAGAGAACAAATTTGAACTCTACTTTCATGAAAATGCTATTTTAAAAAACACATACCACCAGACAACTACCATGAACTGTCCCGCCAAGAACAAGTGATTCTCTTCTGTCAGACTAAAAACGCATGACACAAGACACAGTCATCACATGCACAGATTTTTCAATTTTTTGTACAATCACCAAAGTGTTAGTGTGAAGAAGCAGATGAGAAACATCTACAATAATTTTTTTAAAGATTTAATCCAGACAGAGGATTTTAGTTTGTTTCAGTAAAAGTTTTACGGCACTTGCAACACAATAAGGTCATATAAGTGCCGAAGATTAGAGGTGTTACAAGAGAGTAACATACAGATAAAAGGAGGAGAGATAAGGGCAATAGATGTTTGATAGGGAAAGAAGAAGAAAAAACCACACCAGAGCACCCACCAACCACCCACACATTCTCCCTTCGCCTTCATAATGAGCAGAAACAAGAACAACGTCCATACCTCAGCCACGGACGTGTGTTCGTCGATAGACACAAAAATTTTGTAGAGCAAAGTCTCAAAGTAATCTCCCAGCACTCGGTTCATCACAAACCCTTCCAGGGGAGGAACTGTGGGGAGCAGAAGACAATAGCAGGTCAGATACGGTCGTGTAAGATAAGATAATTTTTTAATTTTTTTTATAGTAGAGGGTTTTACGGCGCTCGCCACTGCATAAGGTCATATGAGCGCCAAAGGGTGGGTGTCAACAGAGAAGTCTTTACAGGGAATCGGATTTAGACTGCTCACCTCTCTAGCTTCAACAGCACAAGGTCTGCTTCGAGCTTCAACAGCACAAGGTCTGCTTCGACTATCAAG